TCTTGCTGACATATGAGTATTCGTAAATGACATATCATTTACAATGATGATCACAATTTCTAATTTTCAGTTTATAGCTTATTGGCCTATAAAATTTAAATGAAGCAGCTTACAATGAAATGTAAACATGTAACAGTAGCCTATCAAATATATGTAGCTAATGGCTTACTATTAATACATTTTTCAAGATAATACATATAATTTTAAGAACTACACTAAACTGAAATCACTTTATATTACTATAATTTACATCAGCAAAATAACCTCTTTAGAAAAATTTAGAATTTCAAATTCCCTGCCTAACCCCAACTACTACCACCAAAAACAAAAACAAACGAAAAACTATTTTCCCAGTCTCTGACTGTATAAAATAAGGGATTCTCCTACTATGGAATAAGAAACTGCTTTGGAGAAATCTACATAGAAAAATACAGAGGAGGGATTTTCATACACTTTTCAACAGACTTCATAACCTTTAAAAGTAATAAAACAGCATCCTGAGTAGAAAAACAAAGCACAAAGCTAATGCTTGGGTCAATCTCAAAAGTCATTTAATTGAACGTGGTAACTAACCAAGACCACCTGTGCCCAATATGCCGATAAATTACAAAGCAAGGAATCAAAGTAGCTCTACTTTATCAATAACAACTCTACAAAATAACACTAACCAAAGTAAAAGTAACCAATATTCAATTTTAGTATATGTGCTGCCGAAGCGAGCACAAATAACCAATATTCAATATTAAAACTATAAGAAGTCTAACTTGTGGTACTATCATTTGAGTAAACACAATGAAACCACCAAAAAAAAATCCTTGTTTCTTAAATATTATAATTCTGATGACATGACTTATACCAATCACATCTAACTTACATACTAAAACAAAACTATTATACAGAGCTTCTTTAGAAGCCTGTCCATTATATTTAGTAAAGCTGAGTCATTATGTAATAAGTGGCAAAAATCACTACTGTGTTGGAAAAATAATAGTGACGAGGACTTTTTTTTCATTATTTGCTCACATTTTCCAAAAGCAATCAAAGGGAAATTCTAGCCCCAGAGCTGTAGCACTGAAATACATAAAAATACAATCTTAAATATTAGTCTACCTACCTTTGTCCTCAAGGTTAAATCTACTCAGTGTTTTAGAAACACTTTCAATTAAGCTTGCATGGCCGGCAATGCTCTGGGTGAAAACTTCCAAACTGACTAAAATTCCAGGAGAGCTAACTCAATGTCAGGGAGCACTGCACTATTCATGGCACATTCACAATTTCAGTCTATGCTGTCAGGATCAAACAACTGCATTTACATTTTAGGAGCAGAAATGTACTTTGTGTTACCTAACATATAATTTTAGACTAAACTAAACTATATCATAGTTCTCTTGCAATTTCTAAATGCAAGTTATCCTAGGGAAACAGTAGTCTATCATTTGTGGCAATTCATCATATTTATAAATCTTAAACCAGTGTGGTGGCACATGCTTATAATCCCACTATTTGGGAAGCTTGGTGCAGGAGGATCACAGGCAAAAGGGCAACTTAACAAGATCCTGCCTCAAAATTATTAAAAAAAAAAAAAAAATCTTAACATGCAGACCCTCAGCTTAATCGCTACTGCAAAAAAAAAAGAAAAAAAAAAAAACTTTAAAGTACTAAAACAAAGAAAAAATTTCCCCAAGTGTTAAATGCAATGCATGACAAAAATATCTGAAATATCTATGTAGAATAATAATTTTAACTATTCTTTCTGAAAGTGAAATTTAAAATACTCTGAACTTCCTACAAACAAAAATCAATGGGGTCCAAATATGACTGTCTGTACTTTTACAGAATCAAATCGCACTAATAATGGCAGAAACAGAAATACATATTATTGATCTTAAACATCCTCCTAAGTATTCAAAAACACTTGTAACTATTGTTAATTTCCTATCATCTTGTTTTAAAGTTTTGAACCATTTTTATTGTTTTTTTCCTATCTTTAAAAATAAATTATCCTGGTATTATGCTGCAAGGGCAAAAAACAGAATGCACTCTCCAACTGCCCAAAGTACTTTTTGTTCTAACTAGAAGATAATAAGACACACTGTTTACCTCTTATAAAAACAAAAATACAACTATATGAAATAATGGCAAAGACTATTCAATTTATTAAGTATATGCCAAACAAGAATCTTTCTGCCAAACTGTCATCAAAGCACAAATACTATATTAAGTCAAATTTTCTACAAAGCTTTAGGGTTCCTAGGCAGAAATGCTTAAAATCTTCTCACTCATTCTAAGATTTACTCTAAAATGCGATCAGAAGGCAAATTTCAGAGGACTTCGTTATTGTCTTGGTTTGTTTAATATGAAAAGAACTAATATATTTTTGAACTATTTCAATGGAGTTTACCTTCCACTCTTTAAAGTTTTATATTTTATTCTAGAAAGTATATGTAATCAATATGCAAGCTTTTATGCTTTAAAAAAAATTTTAAATCTTGATACCACATATGCTTGCATATGTTGACATAGACCTAAGTTCTCAAGATTTTTTAATGAATTAGTACAAGTATTAACTACTTTGGGACAAAAAAAGGCCATTCTGACTTGCCACTAAAGTCACTATGATACTTTAAGCATTTTAGACTCAGTATTCTATGGAAAGATATATAAAAAGATTTTAAAAATCAGTAATTTCTATCCTTCAAACTTGGTTTTATGAACCTATAAATCATATAAAACAAGAAAAAAAATATTCTATCCCATTGAGATCTGAAAACAGGCTACAAATACAGTAATAATACTGAAACATGGGCAATGTTAGCACAACTATCAACATACACTTTTAGAAATACAATTAGGTCTAGAAATAAGGAGACAGACTAATTTTTAAGTTTTCTTCTTATCCTAATTTTTAAAAAATTAAAAGCAGATAATGCTTTGAAAAATAGTCACTGTTAAGCATTTCCTTTATCTGCATGGGACCTTTGGAGATAATAACTGACCAACTAAGACAGAAGGAATTTCCTTGGTCAGTACAACCAACCAAGAGTCAATATCAACATGACTTTTTGTGCCATTCCTTTTCTACTGTATCTGTGAAGCAGCACTTCAGTGAAGTCAGTCGCTCTATAAATCTTTTCAGCATGCAGTTGTTCAAAGGCACTTAACTATGAGGAATTCTCCATTACTTAACCACACCTGCTTTAGGTTGTAAAACATATGGAGTATATTATACTTGCACCAGCTAATCTTCAGTAACCTCAGAAGGCAATTCTAAATTTTTAATGTAGCCTGCAATGCACATGTTTTAAACCAAAGTTTTCTTAGTAATTATTATTTCTACATTAGGACAAAACAGCTAAGATTAGCTTTTATAGATTACATATAAACTGAATCCATTTTTTTTTCCTCTAGTAGTAAAAGATTTGCAAATCTCAGTGAACAACAGTATCTTCATTTTGAGTAACAGAGGGTTTACATTAAAGTAAATGTTTTTCTCTTCTACAACAACTATCAACAGGACTCATTTATTAACACCTTGATCACTGGGCCATTCTGGTACCCAGGATTCATTTTCTAACATATAGTACTTCCTGAAAATCTACTGAGTTGCCAGGTATGGTGGCACATATGTATAATCCCAGCACACAAGGAATTTGAGGCAGGAGGATGAGGCCAGCCTGAACTACACAGTGAGACTGTCTCAAAAAAAAAAAACAACCACTGGGTCATTGGGGCTGGGGATGTAACTCATTGGAAGAGGTCACGCCTAGCTCGTGTAAGGCTCCTAGGTTAGATAAGGGGAAAAGAAGGGAGGAGGAGAAAAGAGGAGAGCAGACCTAGTAAGTCTATGCAAGATTATGACACTTTAGATCATTTTTCCTCCTAACATACTTCTTTAAATTTAATAAGACTCTAAAAATGAACTAATGATGTGATATACTCCTTTAAAACACTGGGTTCATTTTCAGGTAATGAGAGAGAAAACATATAAATAAACATATGTGTTATAAAGTTCCAAGAAAGACAAAAAGGTTCCTATATCCCTCCCTTTCTCTAATCCTTTAATAACCCATTTTGCCTCCTTATCTTAAAAAAGTCCAATATCCTATGAATTGTAGTCATATATAAAGTACATAAATATCTGGGGTCTTATTTCTCTAAGGTTAAGAAAAAAGTATATAAAGAGAAATCTAGATTCCACTAGGAAGTCTCCCAATAAGATACAAGACTCAGAGAGACTTTATAAATGCATATATATAAATATTGTCTCTGTAGTTATGGGGAGTTCAGGTGGATCTTATTTTTATGGTTAACAAATAAATTCATATTCTATCATTAATAATATTAAACATGGGAGGAAAAAACCTTAATGTAAACAGAACAAGTAATTATAGTAAGGTAGAAATTCAATCTAAAATCTTAAACTCTCAATCTTTGTATAAGGCAGCAATATATTCTAATACAAAGCTATTAGCAATTAAATGTCTGTACATAGGAATAATAATAGAGCATTGCCACAAAACAGACAGGTGATTTTAGAAATCTAAAGCAGAAAGATAAAAGTTCTTGGATCATATACAGAGAAAACAAAAGAATATGTTAATCAGCCTTAAACTATTTAAAGTGTCAGTACTCACTTTCTTCACTATTCCAATAAAGCTTAATAATAAAGTAAAATATAGAAAAATTAAGTGTTCAAATTGAGACTAGAAAAATAAACCGCTGTTAAAAATATACTTGAATATACTAGATTTAAATTTTTTGTATATTCAACTATTAAAAGCTGTGAATTTGAAGTAATATTAAAATCAAGGTTATAAATATTTTTAAGCAGAGTCAGAAGCACTATTTTCTATTCTCTCCATCTACATAGACTATATCATAAGCTCATACGATATACAGATATTTTGCTATAATTCTTCCTGTTCCCAAATATATGCAGTGAAAAACTTCACGAGAATTCAGTTTTTAAAACAAATGCATGTCTTCATGTTTCACTTTACCGTTTTGTGACCATTCTGGCAAGCCACATGCAGTGCTGTCTGCCCCATTGCGTCCTCAACATCAACATCACTGACGTGTTGCACAAGGTCATGGAGTAATTCTGTCCTCCCATTCACAGCCAGCCAGTGTATCTGTAAAGTCATTCAGTTATTTAACATTTGTGCAAAAGTGTTTCATAAGAAAGCACCAAATAAGGCTATTTCTCAACCATGATATACAAACAAATACATTTAAGCCCGTACAGTTTTTCCCAATGAGAAAAATATATGCATCAAGATATAGACTATATTACCATATATTAGAAAATCAAGAACTCAACAGTTCAACATAGTAAGTATCCTATGCTTAAGATTACCAATACTCTGCTTCTTAGATGACCTTGGACTCTAAGCTTAACTTATCTCTAGAGAAATGATGATAGATATTTTTCCTTTCCCAGAAGCAAACATAAGTTAAAAAGTAATTAACACCATAATGCTGCATTCTTTACTTATTCTTTACTTACTGTGTTTACAAGCAGCAAATGTATCTTACATAAATAATAAGATGGAGGGCCAGGGAGATGGATCAGTAGAATAAGCTCTTCCCTGGCAAGCACAAGGGTCTGAGTTCAATCCCCAGTTCCACCAAAAATAAATAAATAAATAAAAAGCAATGTATAAGAAAAAAATTATACCTGTAAATCTATCACTCTTAAAATCTACCAATGTTAAAATTTTGGACTAAGAGAGGCTGTGAGTACAGATCGGAGGTAAAACTCAGGTTTAGCATACACAAAGCCACCAAAAAGAAAAAGAAAAAACGAAAATCTTGGACTATGTATTCCAAAGTTCAAATCCATGTATTTTTTCACTTTACTTATTTTCATTAAAAACTTATTATGACATTCCTATCGGAAAGTGGCCAGTTTTTGCTAGATAGGTAGAAATTGTTTGGTGTGAACTAGCATTCAATCTCCTTTTAATGTGGTTGGTACTTTTAGTTCATGTGCTTGGTATTTTTCACCTAGTCATATTCTGTTAGGTTAGTGAGATTCTGTTAACTCTATCAGCCTCAACTTCACAAAAGCCCACTGAAATTGCAATAAAAGAATATTTTCTTAAAGAAAAAAAAGAGACAATAACAAGTTTTGGAAGCTGGAAAACAACACTTTTCATCTTGTCAGATAATACTTGTTGACTTGTCAGAACAAAAAGAATCTGCAGTCAAAAGAAGAGAAAGCTAAGAAGTCACGTGTTTCAGACCATAAAAGCACTGAAAGACTCTAGAATCAGTAGTAAGCAAAGGTGAAATGGGACTAAAAACCAAGCCTTTCGAAAGTTTAGTAAGACTGAGACCCTCAGATCCCTACCCCTTTCTAATTCTGCAAGGATAGTAAAGACTCCTCTCATTAACCTAACAGAGTATGACTAGATGAAAACCACCAAGCACATGGAACTAAAAGTACCAACCACATTAAAAGGAGATTAAATGCTAGTTCATACCAAACCATTCTTACCTATCCAGCAACCAAAGTGCTAACAGTTTCAAGATAGCATAAATGGAAAAGCTCTCTCTAAGGAATCTATCTGGCTTGATCAAGAGTAACTGCCTAAAGAAAGTGACACTAAAAGGGGCAAGAGACAAAATGTCTACACCGGTCATATTGCACTGAAGTCTCTAGTGAACAAACCTCTCTCACACTGACAATGCTTTCAAATAGCTTCCTCAGACCAGGCATGGTGGAGCACGCCTGTAATCCCAGCACTGGGGAGGCTGAGACGAGGATCACTATGAGTCAGCGCTGCATAGTGAAACTCTGTACCGAATACATTAAAAAAATAAAAAATTAAAAAATCAAATTGTTTCCTCTTATTCCCCCAAACACTTGAAATGTGTATCTGATTTAAAAGACAAGTAAAAAGAAAAAAAAAAAAGGTAATAATAACAAAGGGGAAAAAATCATGAAAAAACTAATACTCTCAGAGAAAACATTAATCACATCATAGGATAATATGTCATTTTGCTTTTTAATGATAGAAAAAAACAAAAGGAACCTTTGGAAAGTGGTATTGTGATGGGGACACACAAATGTAGAAGATTTACAAAATGATATTGAAGAAAGCACAAAGAAAAACAATAACAGTAAAAATGAGAAAACAGTAGAAGTCATGAATTACACTTTATGAAAATTTCTCCTGAGTTTCCATTTTGAGGTTCTAGATTAATAGAGACTCTGTGTTATCCAGCCAAACAGATAAAATAAAATTCAATGAAAATATATGAGGAAATTATAGAATGATAAATACAAAATAGATTCTAATCAGAAAACACAGGATCCATAGAATTTCATACCCATAAACCCTGTAGTTTGGAAGACTGAGGCAGGCCAGCCTGGGCAACTCCTGACAACTTTTCTCAAAATAAAACTAAAAAGTGGCTGGAGATACAAATCAACACTCCTTGGGTCTAATCCCCAGTCATAGGAAAAAAAAAAAAAAAAGCTAAAAGTGGTACGAAGCTTCAAGATTGAAAGCTAGAAGACAACAAAGTAATGCTTTTAAGACACTGAGGAAAGATAAGATGATATTCAGTCTACAATTTTATTGTCAGCTAAATTACCAATTATATAAATGGATAAACTCAAAGACTCATATTTTAGAAATATAACATAAGAGCAAATTAGCCTACCATGCATCCTTTCTCAAAAAAAAATGGCAAAGATGTGCTCCAGCAAAGTTGCAAAACAGTTATGAGGAAAAACAGACATGTGATTCATATAAGAGAGAGCCCAAAACAAAATAATAAGACCCTCCAAGATGATGGGAATGAAACATTATGAGCAACTGTGCAGTAAATCTAGAAACCAATCCAATCAGCCTGGAGGACAGAAATCTCCATTGCATGTTCATTTGAGACACAGCCACGGACTTAAAAGACACTGATGACATTTTAGGACAAGAGTTGCAAACAGTAATAAATACATAGAAAATTTAAAAAAAAAAATAAGTTTTAAAACCCTAGAGATGTAGTTCATGGGTTCCAATACTGGAAAAAAAAAAAAATCCAAAAATTCAATAAACCAAGAAACAAATGTAAAAGACACTGAGATTAGAAAGTAAGAAATATCTCTTTTTAGATAGGATATGGTAAGATAAATAAATAAATAAATAAATAAATAAAGGCTGGCCAAATAGCTCAG